TGTATTGTAATAATATAATTTCGTTACAAGTATTCATAAAAATTTATCAGATGAATTCAAACGTTGTTAGGACATAAACAAACGTATGGTCACACGACATGAGAGTCTACATCGACATAAGAACGTTCACCGATATTTTAAACGTGCTTACTGTCTCCATCATCAGGGCGATCATCGCCCTGATGATGGAAGCAAGATAAAAACTGTTACAGGAGCAAATTTAAAACAACGTATAACTATAGTTGTTTGTGCATATTTCAATATCGTTCATATTTAAGCGTATCATGTGAAATATTTTCATTTTTCAATAGCTTTTGTTAAATAAAAGATTAAAATTGGCCCTTGGGTCGAACGAAGAAACTGTTCTTAACCCGAGGGGAAAGAAGCCGAACTAACCTGGCACAGACTACTGAATTTATTCCAGCTCGTCACTCCTTGATTCAGAGAAGCAGTACAAGGGAATTTAAAACGCCTAATGTTCACATTGTACAATGGAGTTTCATTGGCCAAATCTGCACTTAAGAGGAAAAAAGTCATTAAAAGGATTTTCCTGTACATTCATAGTTAAAGTTCCTTTTTTTTTAGTACAAAGCGTAGATTTCAGAGTCTAAAAATTACGAACCACATGCAAACATTACCGAAGCAAATTTCCATACAGCAAGGACCTTTATTGGCGATTTCAACTGATAATTACATTACGACATATGGACTCCTATGTGACGGGCAGCGTGTCAACAAATCTAGGCATGTCAGCTAGCGAGCGGGGAGGGGGGGGGGCAGAGACACGATGATGGTCCAAATAATAAAAAACGCCATCACACAAATATCGAGCCTAGCCGTGCAGTGGTGTAAAAAGGACTTGCAAACGTGAACGAGGGGCAGAGAGCGCAAGAGGACGGAAACGGTGGTAAAATTCCTATTCACTTTGACTAATTAGGTCCGAGTACTAATTGAGCCTGGCACACGAGTCCTTTCTGCCATTGCTGTGACGTTACACGTTGCAACTACCCGTATCAAAACAGTAGTCCACCAATGAGCAGGCCGAAGAAGGGCCCGACCTCGGCTAGGTTCGTAATTCATAAAGAAAATATAGCAGGTATCTGACTCATACTTGCCTCAAAATGCTTGATTTCATAAACTATATTCGAATAATCATAACGTCAGTAGTCCATTTTCTCTATATAATTTCCAGTAGATCCAGATACAGATTCAGTTTGCCATATATATTAATTTAAGAGTTTTGCAACGCCGTCATGTTTGTTGAAATAAAATTTGTGATACGTTTTAGATATATTTCCGTACAAGGTTAGGAACCCCTAGCTTAAATAACTTATTAGTTATTACCATGAAAATGAAAAAGGGATAGTTCGAGGGGCCGCCATGTTTCTTGAAATTCCATAAAACGTGACCTTGGCAAACGGATATTTTCCCAAATTTCTCTATGCACACATATTCCATGATCAAGAAAAGGTGGTATAACAGCCATGTAAATGCTCTTGTTGGTAGAAAATTAAGAAACAGGTGGATACCATTGTCTGCAATGTCATTATGTTCATATTAAGTTTCATAAAGATGTGAATATTAGTTCACTTGTTCCTGGGGAAGACATTTTATTTGTATCTACACAGACAAACGCACTTGTTCCTGGGGAAGACATTTTATTCGTATCTAAACAGACAAACCATAAAATTACGCCATAAATTACCACACCAAATAAATCAGAGAATTGTGTTGGAGACGCTGTAATGTTCCATGAGAGGTCTTCCAATATAGTGTCCCGATTGTTTAGAAACCGTTAATATAATTTAGTGATAACCGCTAGACGAAGTGATCGAAGAATCAATACCTGGATCATGTATCCCTGCTGTGGAGCATACAATCCGATGCAGGATATGTTCAACACCGGTGACATCAATTATTCAATTTACTCTGTCCGTATACTGTACATAACTTACAAAACTTCCCCGTACACGGTTTAAATAATATACAGCTGGTAACATATAATATATGACATAAATGGATAAGTCGTGCAACGTTGTAAATTTTACCTGTTAGGTCGATTTATAACGGTAACCCATCGGATATGTATTTGTGAAGTACTCCATTCGAAATTCGGATAGACGTCTACTATCCTAAACTGATGTTCGTATTTGTACCTCATTCAATGCTCCCACAGTATGTAGAATACAGAGTGTCCCAAAAAGATATGGACACACGATAAATGAACGAAACAAAGATATATTCATAACTAAACTATTACATACGTCAACAGTGGCACTTCGATAATAATTAGCTAATCTAGTGTAGGTGTTACAAACGGCCACCAAAGGCCCCCTTCCAAAGTCATTAATAAATTATCGAAGTTTCTAATAAAAAACAAAAGGGAGAAGATTGATGCAGAATGTTCCTCCGAAACGTTGCTATCTACCAAGTCCACACAGCGTTACAGCCTAAAAGACCAATATGGTCATCGCTCATTAGCTCTTGAACTTTTCCTGTCATCTTAACATCCTCATTCGATCCTACATGACAATAGCAGTTGATTCAGCATCGTACGTTAAATGAATAAGCGATAAGTTGACTGTAACTCTAATTTCTGTGACATCTGAGGTATTCGCGGCTGTGAGAATAATGATGTTGTTCTGGGTTTTAGCACCGTGCATACTCGACACTAAAACCCAGAAGATCATCATCATTACCACATTACGGACAAGGAAAATAAGTACGATGTGTTTTCGGCCCGAGAAGCTGAGGACAATCGAAACGTATAAGCCGAAAGCTGAAACACGTATTGTAATCGCAACTCAAGTCGTCTGTAATGTGTTAAAACGTGTTGATTAATGTGTCGTGTATTGTGTTCTTGCAGGTTGATGTAGCTCGCTGGTCAAAACCATCAACAAGGACCTTGCAGCGCGGTCCAGAAATCTTCCCAACGGTACGTGTTCCAACATAACATAGGTTAGTCTCAATTCTTTACGTAACTTTGGAACAAACCAGAGTTAACTGGTCGATCGTCATCTTTTGTGTTATGACGCCATGTAATCTTGTACCTGGTCACTTCACCCTGAACATGGAGGCGGTACGTTACTCCAAAACTTCAGTAACCAACTACAAGGCCATCGTCAACATCTCATACCTTACATAATAATCTTGAGCAGGTAATATAATTTTTCATCACTTGGTGGTACGGAAAAAATCTATTTATTGATATGGTAAAACCTGAATACTTAACTGATTATTAATCTGTCTTATGGGCAGCTGAATCGCAATCTACAGTGGGGATATCTGGCCGCACGGCAAGGTGTTTTCCATTATCCGCGACCACTACATCGGTTGCTACACCTTTCTCCTCACTCCAGCGGCACAGCCGCCAAGCGCCCTCATTGTATTACTACGAGATTCTGTCCTCTGACCTTTTCAAGGCTTTCAGACATTTTGTAGGATTTCTAGGGCGTGGGATAGGCTTATTCAAAAGCCACCACTTACAGAAGGCGAAAGACATAGAAGGTTCAAACCCGCGATCTTAGTGTTTAATGTCAAAATCTAAAGAAACGATTTTCCACTTACGAACATGGCAAATCTAACGCGTTCTCAGTCTGTAATTATGTAATGCAGCCCACAAATAAATTGCGTAATTATTACACTAATTTAAAATGCACCTTAGCATCACTGTACGTATAATCCTTAAGCGCTCGAAGAAAAGGCCTCATTAAGTTCTCTCACGACTACTTGTTTTCATCTACTATGTAGTTCCTTGCTCCGAAATATTACGTCTTCCATAGCTCCTAGAAAACTACTGACGTTTCTTCAAAAAGTAACCAAAATTAAGCACTTAAATGTACACTGTTTTGGGTCGAAACAACTACTTCTAAGGCAGCTTCCAGTCACTCTGGTCCAAGTACTCAACTTCAATTCTGGCCTTGCATAGGATACAGGCAGTTGCTGTACGTAAAGGATTATTTGCTGAGTGGTGAACCAACTCAACATTTACTAAGCCGTTCGTATGCATTTCTATGACGTAAAATTGTGTTTTCAAATACAGCCACTCAATATTCGTTCCATTCACTGGGGTTTCAAAGCAGATAAGTTTACTATTCTTTTATTAAGCTCGTATTATAAACATGTTCGCCATACTTATTGATGCCAGTAACACAATATTTATATCACTTTCACTCCATGTATTTCTAAAAGCTTCGTCATCGACGTAAATAATTCGCTCTCATTTTCAAACCCTGGTGATAATGACAAAAGGTCATTGTGGCCTGTGAATCGCCCTTTGTCCCGGTTCTAAAGTCACTGTAGAATTATTTTAATTAAAATTATACTGCAATCACTGTTAGTACCTGTACATGAACACAGGTTCTGAAAAAGCTGTAACAAACCCAATTTACACGGTTCATTGCTTAAAAGCGTCACATAAATTAATACTTTTCTTTTACTGTTAAGAAAGGGGATTACTTTCCTGGGCGGATATTTTGATGTTAAATTTGCCGTTTGAGAGTCTTATTTCGTTAATTCACCTTGAAATATATAATGCAAGAAAATGTTGAAGGAACACCCGATGGTGTCCCTTTTGAGATGCTTATAATTGCTCACCTCGTCAGTATTTCCCCAAAAGTTCATTACCATGTTTACAAGACCACATAATCCACTGAACCCCAGTCAAATCCAGTCCAAATTTCTTGAAAACGCATTTGAATATTACCCTCCCATCTCCGTCTGTCTCTCCCAAGTGGTCTCTTCCGTCCACGTTTTCATAGCTCTCGTTCCTTCGTTCGATAACTATAGATGTTTGAGATTCCAGACTGCAATATCCAATGTAAAATAGGCGCCTTCTAATTTCTTTACGGTAAAAGAAAAGAACGGAATCAGCAACGTATATGTAAGTATGAGGCTCGTAAGTCGATGTTCTTCACAATTAAAACATGTCATACCGGAACAGAGTAAATACACTTAAGTACACTAATATAAGATGTAGGTTATTTTAAATGCAATCACTGCTTTCATACCATATTGTGACGAAAGCATTGAAATGTCATATTTGATATTAATTAACAATCCCTGAACACTAAATTTATTCGAAAATCACCAGACAGATGTATCGAAACAAATGAACTTTGAAAAATACAGGTGTTCATTCATACGCTAGATTTGTTACGCCATCAAAAAACTCACAACCATTGTCCTCACTTTGTTGATTATTACAAACAGAATTACTGGACAAATGGCCATATCACTGCAATAATTTCCTAATACCTCGTCCTACTTAGCCACGATTCTGAAATACACTCTATAATTTTGATGGGATATATCAGTAACTGCCGCAAAATGGTGCTCAACTCTATAAATCCGCTCTGATTGAATACAAATACAGTAATACAGACAAGGCCTCCTTTCCAATTAATGTTCTGTTATTATTAGTCCAATTAATTTCCATTATCCTCTTGGACATTGTCTGCCGTTTGTCCGTATCTGACCTCCATTAAAAATATGAGAGAACATTCAATTTACTATAAGCTTATCAGATCGCAGTGACAGTGATTAGGAATAAGATTATTCTTATGTTAATGGTAATTCTCGTCCACAGCTTATTTACCGTGCGTCATGTCACTTGTTTTGTGATTCGAGCTGCCTTAATGTCGCAAACCGAGCTACGCGATTTTCAAACTCAGAAATCAGGTGACGTAACAATGTACTCTATATAATTTGCAGAAAATACAGGGCATTATGCCATTACAGAATACAAAATTACTGCCATCTAGTTTTGTACCGGCTTTCATTTGTATTACGTACACATATCTCGATCAGTTAGTTTTCCTTCATTCTACGACACTGTGCCGACTGCTTAGATTATGTGACGTCGAAATACATGCAACTGCAAGAAACACAGTCCTTCTTAATAAGCTGTTGATCGTCCAGCTGGTCAAAAATTTCCTCGCCTCTTATGGAACCAGAAGGTCTATTACTGTGTTGAAAAGAGCCCGATTGTGGGCCCCGTCCGAAGCCAGATGAATCCAGCCCACACCACAATACACTGTGTTTAAATATCATTTTTAAAACTATTCAGACACCCATGTAAATTTTTCTTCCTTCATATTTCCAGACTAAAATTTTATAAGCATTTAAAATGCGTTCAGTTTCTCTAATTAGCAGAAACATACGTACATTTTAAAATATAATCACAAGAGATTAACTGTCTGCAGTTCCACACCTCTAAAGCTGTTACCCAAGTGGATTAAATTACTGTATTTTTTTTAAATCCTCTTGAATCAGCCTTAGACATTATTTATTTTCTTTTTCAGGCTTACGGACTTCAAGATACGCAGTGAAACAGCGGTGGATGAAGAACATTGCTTCTGCAGGAACAAAGATACAGTAATGAACTGGCAACTGTTCTTACAGTATTTTGTTTTCTACGTGATATCACAAAAGATCTCTGCCGTCGTAACTTTGCTATTAAATAATGACTGGCAAAACTGACATTTAGTCGCCTTTGCGCCAAATCGATGCACATTAGAAAGAGAACTAATTGCGAGTTCATACAACATATTTATAACAAACCAATGAACCATAAATCATAGATCGACGAAAAATATTTTGTGTTCTTTATGTGTCATTCCCTATACCAGAATGCGACGGATTGCACACTGTTTTATTTATATTTCTTACCATTGTGTATATATTTATCAACAACTGTTCAAGGATTCTAATCTTTAAAAATTAACAAAACACGATATTTTTAAATGCTTAAACTGAAAAAAAAATTCCGTCAAAAGTGTTTTTCCCGCTTACATCAAATACTAAATCGGTACGTTTTAATGCGGAATATGTAACTGACAAAAGGATTCCGTAGTCCCAGATACACGAAGTTATCCCCCATTTGCTGTGGTCCTATCTGTCCTTACCCAACCACTGAAAATGCTATTACTGTGTAAATACTCGTGTTGTAAGTGCCAGAAAGGCAAAAAGCATCCAAATTCCTAATGGTAAACATTTAAACCCTTTTCCACATCACTTAGAACAGTATCTATACTGTACCTATAGACTATTTATTCTATACCTATTTTCTGACTTGCCTGGTGTTCGCTCACATTCCGAACTTATAATTACAAAACATAAAACATCCGTTTTACTCACATGGTGTGATCTGCTCATCAAAGGTTAACCTTTGTAACAATTTATGGAACCCAAGCTTTGACAAATATTATGATTTCCTCCTTCTAAACTTCTAGTTTGCGTAATATTTAAAACAGCCTAAGAATATTTTCTGGGTCATACAGACCATATAACAAACTGGAATGTCTGAAATCCCAGTTAAACACTTGAAATAATCTTTGTACTTATTAATGGTATTAAATTTTCAGCAAACCAATACTGTTCAGTCATAAAATATACCTGATACATCTGAAAAGCTGATTTCACGGTATTTAACGAGGTATAAACACTCCTTCCTACTAATAATCGTAATGTACAATCCACACTAAAAGTGAATACTATACACGGCCACAATTGGATTACAGTGTTTCTTTCTTTCTTCGTTTCTTAGCAGAATATAAAAAACTTCATCTTTAAACAAATATTACCTATTCCTACGCCATAAGTCGTGATATCGCTTGTTGTAACTTCTTCAGACTGTAACATGGTACGAAAAACTTTAACGTATAACTGATTACTGCAGGTTATTTTCATGAAAGGTACAGCGCTACATGTAATGACAGCATTTAATGCGAAGAATGCCCCTACTCCAAATATTCTGAGTTCTTATTACGAGAAAAAAATAAGTTTTAACCAGCTTCTCCTGTTCACAAGGAAGATTATGTTACAAGAATTGTCCAAGTTTTAATTTTTAAGCATCTTGACATCTAAGACTCTTACGTCACGAAAATGACGTCAGACTTTCAATTCAGGGGAATTCATGACACTGGGAGCTTTCGTCAAAACTTGTCTCAGACGTAAAACGAGCTCCATTACATTACCTGCCCTTCCCCTTATATTGATCGTTAAATTTTTGTATCAAGAATAAAACTAAGTTTATATAAACACGTTTAAGGTGAATATATGTTGTAAAATTTATTCTAATTGCATTAATTCTATCAATAAAATTATTATTATTCCAATTATTTCATTTAACTAAGTCATCATAGAGTACAGATACACTCAGATACAAACGACTGCAGAAATCACGATGTGTCCCACTATGATTAAAAATCGCATTAACAAGATACTACGTAAAGATAATTCATTACAGGTAAAGCTACACCGAAATCTGTAATTGCTTTATCTTATCCTAACTAATAGATTAATACGAGGGGTGTAGGCCTGTACGTGTAATTATTGTCATTAACATACATTGAACTGATTAAAATTTCAGAGTTTCAAAAATGATACAGACATAATTCTTGAATCTCCACCTAAAACTCTATTAGGAATATAATTTATTTCTAAATTTTTCATAAAAATTATTATATTCGGTCCCTTCACTTCTCTATATGAACGACAGCTGAAAGTGGTTTCTCACACTGACAGCATTAAGCAGATGAGCATTGACAATCGAGTGGTGACAATCCAAAGAACGGAAATATGAGGTGAATGTGAAGCCGAAGAAGTGAAGTCTCAAAAATGTAAGAGTTCACAAATGAAGCAAACATCGTAAGACCAACCTGTCCATCTTTCATACGTGACTTTATAAAACGTCTTGAAAGTGTCCTATTTTACGAAAATATAAAATCTGTGACACGGTTACAATATGTTTATATTTGTATGTATTATGAGTACGTGTAACCCCCTATGACAGTCTTATTTATTCATTTGTTTTCTTTAATCGCAGTGCCCCGTGTTTTATGAAACAAGAGTAGGTAGCAGTGCCCCGTGTTTTATGAAACAAGAACCTATATACGGAGTAAGTGAAAAAATCTTATTCTATTTCATTATTAAGCTACTGCAAATTAGTGTCCCTAAAATGAAGGATGTTATAACAGTTCGATAATTACCAATTTTGTTGTTGTATTTAGCATTTCGTTCACGTCAAATGCTCAAACGGACCACCGTTAGCATTTGTTTATGAATGATCACAGACACACATCAACAGTACGACGAACACTGTTCATCACCCAGCAAACAAGACACCATACCCCATCTGGGATGTTGGCAGCACTGCAGGACAATGAATCCTTCACGTGGACTCAAGAATATAATTGAGTTGAAGTCCGGTGATCGTGCAGTACTCACAGACCGCAACACTCCTTCGTTCATAAGTTGTTTGTCACCTAATTTAAGGTGACAAACAACTTGTGGAAGCTGTCCTTTTTGGGCTCAACCATGTTACTCTGTGAGAAACATTCTCCATACGAATTTATATGTACAATTTCCTTGTTAAAAATCACTCGCATTGCAGAATAAGTGTAACATAAATTGGTCTATTGCATGACTTTTAAAAAGACTCGCTTTCTTTAGAATTTTAAAATGAAATGTAATGTATTTATGCAGTGACCTACATGAACATATATTTGATGTAATAAGATGCGTAGGTTTATCCACTGTTTCCAAGCCAGTTATAAGATTCTGATCGCAATATAAATTATTCTAATTGCATACACGTGTGGTGATTTCTCACATTCAGTGCATCACAGAGCAGATAACACAAAAGTGAGTAAATCTGATGTTCATTACCTGTTTTATGCCCACAATTTAATATAGTGTCATAAATAAAGAACTGAAGGTCATGTAAGGTAATAATAATAATAATAATAATAATAATAATAATAATAATAATAATAATAATAATAATAATAATGCGAAAGGAAAGAGGCATAAATAATAGTGTTTTGTACAAGGTTATACCGATGTGGTGCATATCAGAATAAAATATACATAAATATAAACTATTCACATTGACAGAAAGCCAAAGAAGATATGCATATAATATAGATAAGAACTGTACCAAATTTCCAGTAAAATACATTAAATGATGTAAAATATGATGTAGTCACAAAGAATTAAAATAAAGAAACTTTGAGAAATGCTGGTTTTAAAACTTCATTCACGAAAACTGTTCCAAAATATGGAATATCTCCTTCACGATACAGAACTAAGAGCTAAAAAGAAAAGTCAAAACGAAAGTTGGATTGTATCGCCCATTTCCTGACTCTTTGTATTTCATTTCTCCTTCCTACAAATCTTCCCTCTTTCTGTTTGTTTCGTGTTGAAAATCGCTAGTCGTTGTGAACGCTAGAGTGATAATATTTCTTAAGAATGGAAGCGTGTCAGGGGATGGAAAGCGTCTTCCTATATCTTATATTTCGTCCCGGAAAAATTTATATTTATAAAGCTTCACATATAGAAGCTTCAACCGATGCTTATTGATTCATTCCGTTCCTGATTCCAGTAGGTTGGTATGTTCTAAATATTCTAAAGAATGATTTCTTTTTAAGATACTTTACGATGAAGATTTCTGTCTTCTGGGTTGTTGCGCTGTGTAGTCTGGTAGATGTTTACCAACATCCATCGCCCTGATGACGGAGGCAGTATGACCTCTGAAACGTTGGTTAACATCGACCAGACTACACAGCGCAACAACCCAGAAGACAGACATCTTCATACTCATCGCCCTGATGATGGAGGCAGTATGACCTCTGAAACGTTGGTTAATATCGACCAGACTACACAGCGCAGCAACCCAGAAGACGGAAATCTTCATACTCGCCGTAGTGTGAACCTCAAATCATTCAAACTTTACGGTGTTCTTCAACTGAGCATGTTATGCAGGGTTGAATGGGAACGTGATCGTAAAAATTATGAACTGGCAGGGGTGTGAAAGGAATCGGTAAAGGCTTACTCAAGGCAGTATCAAAACGTTTGCCTTCAGAGACTGACAAACGTCGCGAACAAAAGATGGGTATCACCCTGCACATTCTTTCGCCGCTGTTCTCTTATGATGTTGACTTACTTATTTTTGGGTAATTAACGACGCTTTTTCAGTAGCTCAGACTATATAGCGTAGAGTATCATCTTTAGGCCCGTAAATTCCCTAATTAATTTTTACAATAATATGCTTAAGAGAGTCTTCTTTCACATGGAAATTTGCGGAGTCTCTATAATGATGTAAATGTAAAAGTAGACCTATATTGTCGAGGGAATTTATTTGAACAAGTTACGAATAACATTTTAATTTCTTTTACATGTTATTGATACATTTATTACTCACATTTTAAATCAGAATTTAGGGTTAGCTTCGAAGAATGTCTTACTAATGAGAAAAATGTGTTTGTTCCTTAATCCGATTTCAACAAATCAGTAACGACAACGGCAGAAGGAGGAAACAGAGCAAAGCCTCTTTTTTTCTGCTATTTACGGGGAGAAAATCTCGTCATTCAAAGAGCGTGCACGAGAGACCAGTCATTTATTTTTCAAGCTTAAAAATGATGCATTTAATAAAAGGCAAAGGGTATCGAGTTTACATGGAACTTTCATCTTTCTCGAATTCGTTCCTCTAACCGACCTT